CACACCTCGTTTGCCAGCTCACTGAGGTTAACCACTCTGCAAATATGAAAGTGTTACTAAATAAACACAAAAGGATGTGAAATGAGTAAGACGCCGTCGGCATTCTCTGTTTAGACATTTTGGGAAAATACTTGTTTTACTTTCTGGCCAGATAGGATCAGACCTGTTCATCTCAGTAGGTGATGTCCATCAGAGGAGGTGGGGTTTGTGTTACTTCACCAGTAAGCTGAGCTACAGTGGAAGTGGCAAACACAATGCAGAGTTGCCCTTTCTGCTGTGGTTAGGCAGCAGAAATACGAGGCCCTTACTCTGCGATTACTGCTGATGAAATTTCAGTGTTTTACACTTGTTTCAATAACATTTGGCAAACTCAAGAAACGTATCATACACACACACAAACACACACACACACACACACACACACACACACACACACACACACACATATATATATAATATATATTTATTTATTGAGCCATTCGGAGGTGGACTTGTCGTATTTCTGAGCATGTCCTGATTTTCTGGTAGAGCTCCTCAGAAATACCTAGATACCAATTGTTAAAGAATTCATTAAATATACTGGATGTGAGAGAGAAAGGGGTAACTCCACATCACATAGATCTCTCCTTTCTCAATGCAATGGAAGATTTAAGATCAAGAAAGTGAACAGGAATGACAGCGGTAATCATAGCCTTTAAACTTTTGATTCAAGTGGAACATCATCAAGGAAATGGACTTTACAGTTGTTAATTCAAGGTAATTCTTGTTGGTTTAGAATGAATAAGAAGTTTTTATTTTATATAATTTTTTCATGTTTTATGGATATCATGTTTTGTTATTATGGTATTTCCCATTTAAAAGCTTACTAACTGAACTCTACATACAAATTAAGAAATAGTGACAATGTTGTTTTCTCCAACAGTGTCATCAGTCCTCCTGTAGTTTTCTTTTTTTTTTAAACAAACAAACATGTACAGTGTTTGTTTTAGACTGAACTGGAGAGTTTGTGTGACTTATTTTTTTTAGTTAGTTAATAAATTAGTTATGAATAACGTTCATTGTTAGTGTAACTTTGTGAGTGAATTGTGGTTGTAGTGACTGTGTAATAAGGTTCTTTATAGTATAATACAAAGTAGGTCTCTTTTTATTCCCAGTAATGGAAGATTTAGGATCAATAACCTGAGCAGGAATAGTGGTAAATATACCCTTCAAACCTTTGATTTAGATGGAAAAGAAACAGGCAAGCAGTCTTTACAGTTGTTCATTCAAGGTAAGGTAAGGAATGAGTTCAAGAACTTGATAGAAATTTAACATGGTTTTGAAAATCTTTATGATTTAACTCACAAAAATACAGTATAACACCCTTTAATCAAACTACCTGCAGCGATGGCACATGGCACAATAGTAAGTGAAAACTAACTCCAGTAAATTGGATTCATTTATATCATTTTGTGGCGGAGGTGTGGTCCCGGGCTCGGGCTGCAGGGAAGGAGTGGTGCAGTGAGCTCAATGGGGCGGTGCTGGAGAGGCAGGTGAGAACACAAGTGATGGCGTTTGGTCTGATGACGGTTTTCCTTCCCCTTTTTAGTGAGATGGGAGAGGAGCGGAGGGGAAGCTGGCAACAGCTGAGACCGGAGCTGTCCAGACTGTGGACTGTCACAACAAACGAAAACTCAAAATAAACATGTCATCTGGCTATAAAGAACTGTGTGTGTGTGAAGTGCATTTCACACACTTTCTTCTTTCTTACCATGAGAAGTAAGTGAAAACTCACAGCTCTGCCTAACATGTGATTTTGGTGTCTCTGAACAGATAAGTCCTTGCTTATATGTGGTTTGAGAGCAGTTGTGGTCATTCTCTTGTTAATTGGTATTTACATCTACTTCGCTTGGAGGAAAAAGAAAAATGAAAAAGCTGAAGTCTCTGCTGTCCCACAAACAAGAGGAGATCCAGAGGACTCTGTTCTGATGATTGAAATGAGTTCTGCAACTTACACCAACACCTAGTTTCACCTTTTATCAACTGAAATTTGACAAAACAACACATTTTTGTTTATATTCTTGGCAAATTATGTTCCTCACTTAAGCACCTCATGCTGAATTAAGCTGTGAGGGTTTTCTGCATTTTTATTCGTGGAAGCTTTGATTACAAAGGTTGTGAATGTAATCTGAACTTGGTAAAGGTGGAATCAGTCAAGTCAATTTTTTAATTCAAACATCTGAAACATTTAGTTTCACTAAGCTTTAAACAAGGATTTTTGTCTTAGAAGATTCGGGCGATTTGATTTTGTTTTTGTTTTTTTAAAGAGGAGGATGGCCTGAGACATTTTACTCAACTTCAGAACAGGAACATTAATGTGAAAATCTATGAAGTTCAGACACATGTGAGTCAACAGCATAGTGTGAATGTCATTTATCACCATGTGTAGTGTTGCCATGAAACAACATTAAAACCATAAACTTCAAAAACGAAAGACTAGAGTAAAATCACATAATGTTAACCTTTAAGTTAACTTTTGAACTCTTAATAATCTCATTATTACAAAATTTACCTTTTCTGGTAAAACATTAAATATTTGCTAAATTATGTTTGATCAATTTCATCTGTTTACAGAAATCCAAAAGAAGTGATAAAAGATTAGAAGCGTCTTTACTGAATTCTCTTATTTCTTCAGGTGAATTTTTAAAGTGGACCATCTGAAAAATGTAACGTCACCAAGCTGATTGAATGGACAGTACACAACAGAGGTAAAGAAGAGAGTGCAGGTAGGGTGGAGTGGGTGGAGACAAGTGTCAGGGAAGATTTGTGACACAAGAATACAAGATACCACCGGTTTACAAGATGCAAGTGAGACCTGCTTTGATTTATAGTTTGGAGATGGAGGCAAAAGTCTGAGCTTGAGGTAGCAAAGTTGAATGTGTCAGGATGTTCATTGGAGTGACCTGGATGGACATAATCAGAAATAAGTATGTGGAAGCAAGAAGGAGGAGGAAACTGAAAAGGCAACAAAATGGTACTGACAACGCCACTTGGGGGTGGAGTTACACGCCAGGAAATACGACATTAACTAGTGCAAAGTTTCACCAGTTACAAAGGCACTCATGCTCGTTACTGACGAGGCAGAGGCGTGACCAATCAATTTCAAGAAGTTTATTAAACAAACTAACTGAAGATAATATGGAGCTGCACCAAAGAAAACAGAAAATTAGGTGACAGGACTTAGAACACCACAAAGCATTTAATTAAAACACTTTATTACCAGGCATTGCTTAAAAACAACAAGATTCACTGTCACTGTCTTGCTCTAGTTAAAATAGCAGCTGAACAAAATAACTAATCAATAGGGTTAAAGGCAGGCCACTTAGAGAAACAACCTACAGAGCGGCAGTGCTACCAGTTGCTCACTCGTGATGTCACACTGCAGCTCAAGGGGTGCTTTTTACTCATATCCTGATGTTTACACTGACATGCATAAGAGGGAACTTCACCAAACACGCCTAGGCTGCCAAACAAGCAGCTGTCTCTCTACTAAAACAAAAGAAATTAAAAATAGTCTAAAAAACAAGTTCTAAAGAAACGAGGAACAACTCAGTGAACAATATGAAAGCAGAGGTTTCTCTCTCTCTCTCTCTCTTGCTCTCTCTCTCTTGCTCTCTATCACATTTTACAAGCTGCTGTTATTAATAAAAACAATAATAAGAACGAAACCTCTGCTGTGCCAAGTGTTCATAGTCTACACTTAAATATAGACGAGCAGAATATAACCAGAAGAATAATGGACTGGCTGTTCTTGGTAAAAGATGCATGTGTACCTTTGGTTTTGTATGGTGACCGTTTCTCTTGTTTCACTTCCTTCTGCAAACAATGGCAATCTGTTCTTTTATGGTGAAACACAACACTTAACCTCTATTTATGATAACATTTCAAAACCACTGAGTAACACGGGCATCATAAATGTCTGTGAATGTGTTTCAAGGTTTGATGAAATCTGTTATTAAGATGTATTAAATTAAACATGTCTGGCTTTATTATACACTCTGTTTTATGCCATCCCCATTAAACTTGCTTCCGCGTGCAAATAAACATATTTTAGTTGTCAGTGTAATTTAGCTGTAAATATTAGAACTGTCAATGAAACGGCATTATTAGTTGGACAATAAAATTACATGATTAGTTTGGGGCTGTTGAATTAAATTTAAATTAAACTTTTCTCTTTTCTTTCTCTGCAGTTAAATTCTGGTCACATCCTGTCTGGTCTGAGTTCATACATACTTATCTGAAGCTGATCAGTATTGACAAGCAATGAAATTTATTGGCATCTGCTTTTAGTAATTAACACAAAAAAATTCTGAAGTAGCCACATCCTGCTTGGTCTAAATTTATATGTTTTGATCTGAAGGTTTCTCACCAACAGGAAACATGGTCAGTGTAGGTTGGGTCTGTTTGCATCACAGTAAAGCAGAAGAGCTGCCTGCGGAGTCGACTGATGCTGAATAGAGAAAAAACATGCAAGCTGTGTTTGTACTGTTCGTGATGCTATTAGGAGTCTCTTATGGTGAGCTGTGTTTACTTATTCAAAGCATGCAGCTGCTGTGGTAATAAGTACAAAGATTTTGATGTCGTCTTTAGTTTTACAGTAAGTTCTGCAGCTTACAGGCTGGTGGCATTGTGTTGATGCCACTGGGAGTATCTGAGGATGAGCTGTTCTGCTTTTTCATTTCATGCGGCACTTTATTGATACATACTCATCCCCAGACCTGGTCTCACTCGACCTTTGTTCATGGGTCTAAAAAGTATATTTACAGTCAAATCATCTTGTTTTTATTCCAAACAAATGCTTGATATTTTAGATAACACATTTTTATATTTCAAAGGTTATGACTGTAATTTTAACTCGTCTATCTTTTAGCGAAAGTGGAATCAGATCATCGCTTCAAATAAAGTCATCTGACCAGTGGCACCTGTTTGTATGAAATTGTATTTGAGCACTGGTTTTTTATAATATACTAGTTTTTAAAATAACAACGACAATATGAATAAAAACAATACTGATCAATTCAATTGGTAAAATTATCTCAAACTTCGGGCCTCTTTAAAGTATAAAAAGGGATCAGATACACATTTTGTCACAGCCCGTATAATTTAATGTTATTCCACAGTTAAGATGGGGGAAAATAATTATTTGTATGTTAATAAATGTCAAATATTAGCTACAATACTTTTGTGCTAATGATTATTTACCACTAGAGTGCACATTTATGAAAAAAGAAATACTGTGATTTAAATCCTTCAGCAGTAGTTTTGAATCTGGATTAGTTTTTATAAGCATTTATTGCAAAAGCAATCAGATATTTTGAAGTTTTGTTCAATTAAACTTTAAATGATATGAATGTTAAATGACCCCATGGCACCATTTAAGATTCAACTAAAGCAATATTTAATTCCAACAGTACATTCTGTAATTTGTATAAATTCTTCTGTGATCAGCATTTTTAAATATAACATTAACCAGTGCAGTGCAAAGAATGTTCAAACCATTGTTGCTCAACATGCTGAACTATCTGTTTGACAGAGATTGAAAGCGTCCTACTTTCATGTTGTACTCTTTTTAGAGATGAAACATGTGCTATCATTAATTTTGTGTCTATTTTTTCATCTAAACATATTTCTGAAATGTATCATTTCATTTTAAGTCTGGAAATTTTATTTCTTAGGAATTTAAATTGTTACTCTCATATAAGAAATCTCTTTTTCATGAAGGTTAAAGGAGGAAGAAAAACTAATGTCAATTCAATCTCCTACCCTCAGCATGTGAGACGTTATTTACCACTTCACTAAAACCTAAAGCCAACGTTTTCATGATTTCTCCTTTCAGGCTGAGCACTAACAGTCTGTTAACTGCAGTCTGTTAACATCAGTAACATCACAGATTTGCTCATTTGAGAGAAAAGATTTGAAAGCTGCCGATTGAGTCAACATAGACTGAACAGTTGACATGGAAGCTGCAGTTGGACTGTTGCTGATGTTCGGAGTAGCTCATGGTGAGCAACCAAATTTTTTTTCATGCAAGGTTTCAAAAATACTTATTTCATACTTAATTTCAGTACAATCAGAATTAGGTCTGAAAAAAAGTTACTTCTTAGTTTTGTCATGCTCCTTCATTCTGATGTTGCCGTCTCCTATCTGGATTTTAGGATTGCTTCATGTATCACAGCTGCTGGTCGGTGGTTATGTCTGAGTGGTTAATGGTTGGCTGTCTGTCTATGTGGAACTCAAAGTTCCACATGACCTTAGTTAGCACTGTTGTTCTCAACCACCTTCAGTGGGGTCTCCTATCGGGATTTGGGGATCATATGCAGCACAAATGTTCTTGTAGTTGGTTGTGCAAGTCAGTGTACGCTGTCCCAGCCCTGTTACTGTACGCTGCTCTGTCTCTGAGCCCTGTTAGATGTGACTCCTTCCTCTAAAATCTAGTGCTTAGGCCCTGTTCCTTTTCTTCCCTCTATCTGTTGATGATATATCTGCAGGTCAGTCATACATAATGGTCCCACTTCCTGGTCCTTATCACTGTCTGTCTTCAGCTGTTTTGGAGCATCTCACCTCAGGGAGCCATTTTTTATTTCAATAGCAGCTTCCACATCTGTTCACAGAGTCTCAGACCTTTGAGTGGAAATTGAAGAAATCAGAGGAAGGATGTTGAGTGGCATTGTGAGGAGTTTTCATGTCTCCTCTTGTGGCCAGTTTGTTATTCCAGTTTGGTATCTGATGACATGAAGACATATATATTGATGGCTCACATTTTTTAGCACCTCTATTACTTTCTGGAGGTATTTGACTGTGTCTGACTTTATTGTGTCTTTATCATGTAGCTCTCGTTAACCTGTTCTTCTGTGTGTCCTGTATGTCCTTATGGCAACTCCACCCCATCAGTCTCTCTTTACAACCTTTTTGCCACATTTATAAAGAATGACATCCTAGCGTCCTCACTGTAGATCCTGGTGAGGTGGATCAGTGAGTCAGTGTTTCAGTCACTCCTGTCATACAGCATAATGTCATCGATGGACAAGAAGTGGCTGATGGTCACTCCCCTCTGATCTTTGTGATATGGACAGTGCATCAAGTGTGGGATATTCCACATTTGATGGTGACTTGAGTTCTTAGTAAATGTCATTAGTGCAATATTAGCCTTGTATAAAGCAAAGCACACATAAATCCAGAAGCACTGAGTTGTAAGCCTCCTCAGGTTGGTCTTCCTGGTCTTATAGTTCTGGTGTACAGGTCTATTAACCATTACTTTGTGCTTTGATCTCCTTTTGTTACCACTTCTGATATCCTCTCTGAAACATTGCTTACATTTGTTAAATAGTGTTCAGTAAAGAGGAGACAAGAAAGCAGGGCACACAGCAAAAGCCCTCTGGCTAGAACTCAGGCTACTACATCAGGCATGTGGACATCTGTTCATCTACTGAGCAAAACTAACAACTATGACAACTTTATTTTTGTTTTGCAGGTGTGGAAACTTACTGTGATGGCAGACGGGATGGAGCTCAGTGTTATGGAGCTTTGGGAGGAACTGTGGACATCCAGCTGATGGACAACACTTCAGAAATTAATAGATACCAATTATTAAAGAGTTCATTAAAAATATTAGATGTGAGAAAAAATACGGTTATTTCTAATACCATAAGAGAGAGAGCTCATTTTCCAAGTAATGGAACATTTAGGATCAATAAACTAAACAGGACAGACAGTGGTAATTATACCCTTCAAACCTTTGATTCGGATGGAAAATCATCAGACGAGCGGATTTTACAGTTGTTTATTGAAGGTAAATGTTGGGAAATTAAGCCATTAATAGATGTAAATAAAATATTGTTGTGGTAATCTATACAATAATCTATACAATACATCTCACGACATTTCCCTGTATTCTATGCTTTACCTATTCTTTATTAGAGACTCTAAAGAATTAGGGAGATTCTGATTTAAAATCTAAACTCATCTATGTGTGTTTCTCTCAGCTCCTGTGTCGTCTGTCCTGCTGGACCCTGAATGTCTGTCCCAGGGAGAGATGAGGGTGTCCTGTTCCTCTGAGGGAGGGGACAGTCCTCAGTACAGCTGGACTCTGGATGGACGCACACTGACAGATGCTGAGCTCTTTTCTGGAAATAATGAGAGTAACATCATCACTCTGAAACAGTACGTCTCAGGACATCTGGTCTGCTCACTCAGGAACAACGTCAGTAATGTCTCCAAAGAGGAGAGGATATCTACCTGTGGTGAGTGAGAACACTGTGATAATCACAAATATGATCATTTTGGTCACTCAGTCTTTCATTAATTATACGTTTTTGCTCTCAGGCTTCATTTTCATTAACTGCACTTCAGTCAATGGAACACAGATATCAGGGTGGGTGTATGAAGCCAATAACACCCTGTGTATTAAACCAACAACAGTCCCCAAACAAACTGCTACGTCTAAGGAGACCGCCGTAGTGTCAGATAAAAACCCCACTAAGATCAAACCCTTCAATCAAACTGTCAGCAGTGATAACCCATGGTACATTAGTAAGTGAAAATAACTTTGCTACAGTAGACTGACTAATGCCAGTTTCTCATTATTTCTTTGTTTGTCTTCATAAAAACTCAGACTTGCTGACTTGTTTTTGTCTTATTCTGTCCTTTTTTCAAACAGCCTATTTACCACTGATCGGTGGTGTTCTCTCAGCACTGCTCATTTTGTTAGTTGTGGGTGTAGCAGGTGCCTGTGAACACATCATAAAGCAAAAAGCCAAACCTACAGAACAAAGAGGTACAAAACTTTCCATTTCCCCACTCCACTTTGATTAATTAAACATATATAATTATTTTTAAAAAAATTAATAAACCTTTTTGCTGTCTTGCCAAGAGTTTAATCATACCTCTGTCATATGTCAGTCAAATTTGTTGGTATGGCTAATCAGCTAGCTTTAACACAACAACTAAAAACATGGGGAAACAGCTCAAAAAACAGCAACCCGGGAGTTCACCAATGAAACATTTTTAATTAGTTTTAAAGTGCACCAGTTAGAATCACACACACTGCCTTCAACCTTTGTGGTAAAACTAATCAACTGATCGAGGAGCAGACATGAGAGTGAAAGTTCTTCTTTAAGTCAAACCATTCCTGTACTAATACACTGACTGTAACATTATGTTTGTGCCACCTCTTCCTACTAATTTGCAGCTGAAGAAGATGACCAGTGTGTAACCTATGCTCATGTCATTATCACGAAATGTCAGAGGAAGGATGCTGAGCAAAGAGCAGAGGCGGAGGTGGAGTATGGCCAAATCAAGTTTTCAAGCAACAGAAGATGATTTAAGTGGTTGGAGCTTTTACACCGACTGCACCACTGACAGCAGACCGAAGGAGGAGGTGACATCAAGATGCCAAAAGGTTGTTGCTTCATGTAAGTCTGTGGCTGAAACACAGCTAATGTTCCAGCTAACAGCACATAAAGAACAAAACAAATATGAATAAATTAATGACTGAATTCTATTCAGACACTTTAGCTTCCTGTGACACCTTCATGGGCTACTTTGTCCCTACTATAACAACAACAACAACAACAACAATAATAATAATAATAATATTCATCTTTGGCCTGTCTTTAGATTTATATCTGGGATCAGCCCCCTCTTCTCTAAGAAATGCATGTGTCTTAATACATCTGGATAAATGTGAAGCAAACATTGTATATAATAACATGGGAAGAGAAGAGAGAAAAAATCCTAATGATATTGTTCTGGTGGACTAATGCAGAGTCTTCATTTGTTTTTCCTCTTCTGGGCCCTGTTTCAGGAAGCCGGTTTAGAAAACTCAGAGTGAAAAACGACAC